TGTTTTTCCGGCAGTGCCTTTGACAAAAGTTGGAATTTTCCATTTTTTTTCCAATTTTTGCCTTCTCTTTGCTCCCACCTCAATCAACGTTTTTATGGCCCAAAATGCACAAAAAACAAATCMATTTTTTTTTTTTGCTTCTTTTGCTCTGTTTGGAGCTAATCCAACATCCTCAATTCCCTTAAAGGAGATTCCCGTCCTTCCTGCTCTCCTGAACGTGGAATTTTTACCCAAAACCACCTCGGATTTGCTCATTTGAACCCCGAACACAATTCCAGCCCAGCGTTTGTATTTCCCTTTATCTTTTAATTTCTGTTTATTTTATTCCATTTATTTCTGCTGCAGTACCGCCCCCCCCCCCCGCCCCCAATTTTCTTATTTAAAGTTTATTTTCTTTTTTCTTTGGTTGCTCAATTTCCTTAAACTCCTAAAAACAAACCCGGAGGATTAYCACGATTAATATCAGGATTATAATTATTATTTTAATGATTATTTTTCGCTGTTAACAGTTCCGCTGCTCAAGGCCTGTTTGATATAAAARTTTTGAGGTATTTTGGGTTTTATTCCCAAGCCCAGGCCCTGTTAATAAAATATTTACAGAGATTTATTGGGATTTACAGAATATTTACAAATATTTACAGCCCCAAACCCATGCACGAGCGGCAAAAATTTAAAAGATCTCCACCCGTGCGTGTCCAAAATGTGATTTTTTTTTTTAATATAAAAAGTGATATTTTTAAAATCCGTATTTACACCGGGATAAAAATCCGCCCCGTCCTWCCCCCACCATTCCCGAGGTTTTTATCCCTTGGAAAAATAAAATTCCTGAGGTTTTTTTTGGGTTGTTCCTGGGAGCTGCGGGGCCTGGGGGTTGCGGGGTTTAAATATCTCAATTTCTATATTTATATATATACCCATGCATAGGATTTTTGTGTATTTATAGGATTTTTATATATTTATATGATATTTATATATGATTATATATATAAATATTAACATTAATTCCCAGCGCACATCCCGGGATTTTTTTCCTCCCGGCCTCCTTCCACCCCACCCGAAAATTATTCAAAATTCCCTTTTTTTTTCCTCTAGAAAATACATTTTCAACCCGACCGAGATTTTGAGGAGCAGGGAATGACCGCGCTCCACGGAAAAAGGGAATTCCAGGGAAAACGCCGCCGGTTTTTGGGATTCCCGAGATGCGCTCRCGGGGCCAAACCCCTCAAATCGGCTTTTCTCACTGGTTTTGAAGTTTCGGTGATTTTTTTTGAGGATAATGGCTCTAAAATCCGAATATTTCGGCGAGAGAAGCGCCCCTGCTCTGCTCAGCAAGGGAGGAGCGGGAGGGGGCGAAAAAACACCAAAAACCGAGCTTTTAATTTAAAAAAAAACAAAAAAAACCCCAAAAAACAAAACAATGAACGCTAAAAACCCAAACAAAACAAACACCGCTTTTAGCACCAATTCGCCACTTCCAGGGAAAGCAGTGCCCGGCAGATCCCAAACACGCTGGGCCTTTAAATCCCTTTTCCCCCCTTATTTTCCTTTTTTTAACGGGCTGATGGAATGACAATAAAATCCAGCAGGCCTCGTCTGAAAATTCTCCTTTCAATCCCGGGCTTCCCTTCCTTTTTCCCTCGCAGGAGGGAACGGGAGGGGTTTGATTTTTTGATTTTGAATTTTTGGGCTTGGGGAGGGAATTTTGGAGGGGAAGAAAAAACAGAAATTCCCAGGCGGGCGCTGCGGGGTCCCCAAGGCAGGCCGGGAATTTTCTGCTGGAAAAAAAAACCCAAAACAGCCACTGAAAAACAAACAAACGAGGAAAAAAAAAAATCAAACAAAAAACCCAAACCAGTTTTGATTTGGTTCAGGTTCCCAAAGCAGAGGAGGCTCCAGAGAGCCCGAGGGGATGGAAATCCCATCAGGAACAGCCCAGGAGTGGAAAAGTCGCGGCGGGATTTGGTTTCCTCGGCGGGGAAGGAGAGAAATTCCCGGCGCATTCCTGCCCGCATTCCCGCCGGGATCAAACCCCCGATCCGCGCCCTTTTCCCGGCCCCAAAGCTTTTCCAGACCCGCTGCCTTCGGGGATGAATATCCCACAAATTCCTCACTTTTCCCCTTTTCTCCCCCCTCCTCCTCTACTTTTTCTTTTTAATATTTTTTAAATTCCAGTGGAGCAGTTTCAAGTCATTTCCTCTCCAGCCCTCCCGGGTTCTTTCAACCTCACGAATTTTTCTTTTAAAAGTTGGGTTTTCCCCTCCCTGCTCCCGAACCAGATGGGAAAACATCGCCTTTAAGCCGGGATTTGGGAGAGCTGCTCCCAGTTTTCTCCGGGATYGACTCGGCCCGAGAAGGAAGGGTTGGTTTGGTTGTTGTTTTTTTTTTTTTTCTTTCCTGCGATCATTATTTCTCTCTGCATGGGATTATTCTGGTTTTATCCGAYGCDTTTTTGGAGGAAAAAGGGGGAAATAGTTCTGCTTTCTCCTAGGGTTTTTTTTTGTTTTTTTTTTTTTTTGGCGGAGGGATGGCGGCGGGAGCGCCTCCCCAGCCCATTCCCGGCTCTCCCGGCCCTTTCCCTGCAGTCGCTTCATCCCAAAATCCCTTTCCTGGGAACTCCCAGGCGCTCGGCAGCAGAGCCAGGGCTTTGGGGAGTTACCCGGGTTCGGCCGCGCGCTTTAACCTCATCCTAAACCGGATCCCAAAGCGCGGATCCCGCRCACCCGCGGCCCCAGATCGGCCCGGTCCATCCCGAGCGGGGCCTCCCGCGTTCCCCGCAGCCCTTCCCGCACCCTCCGGGCAGCCCCTTCCCCAGCGGGGCTGGGGGAACGCTGGGACCCCGCTCCGCACCCCCGCACCCCTCCGGGCAGCCCCTTCCCCTGCGGGGCTGGGGGACCCTGGGACCCCGCTCCGCACCCCCGCACCCCTCCGGGCAGCCCCTTCCCCTGCGGGGCTCGGGGGCCGCTGGGACCCCGCTCCGCACCCCCGCACCCCTCCCAGCCCCGGGAACCTTTGCTCCGCTCTCCCGCGCTCCTCAGGGATCCTCCAGGCCGCAGCCGCGGAATTTGAGGCTGGGGGGCACGGGGATGGCGCTGCCCCCCAGGTGCCACCTCCACAGCGGGTGCGTCTTGGACAGCGGCCACGAGTTCTTGGCGCCGAGGGACGAGGCCGGGCACAGGTCCCCGTCCGCGCCCACCACCAGCGCGGGCGTGCAGGGGAAGTTGCCCATCAGGCTGAAGGAATTGCGGGCCGGGGTCGCTTTGCAGGGAGCGCTTCCCTTCCTGGGATTCCTCCTGGGGGTCTTGGGCGGCCTCCCCTTGGAGCAGCTGCGCTGCCTCTCGGCCTCGGCGCCCCTGCAGAGCCGCCGGCGCTTGGCGCTCCGGTCGGAGCCGCTGCCCCGCAGCGCCCCGGGGCTCTCCGCTGCTGCCGGGGCCGGGAACCGCAGCTCCGCGCCCCTCCAGGGCTCCGCTCTCCCCGCGCCGCTCCGCAAACTTTTCCCGTCCAGGTTGAAGCCCTTGGCGTAGCACCACAGCTTGGATTGCCGGATCAGGCGGTCGAAGTGCTCCCGCCGGGGCTCCCCGGGGGTGGCGGCGGGGCCGGGGGTCGCCCCCAGCTCCGGGGGCGGCGGGGCTGAGCCCGGGCCCGGCTCTGGAGAAGGCGCCGGCCCCGGGGAGGCTCCGCTCGGCCGCTCTAAAGAGGCTCCATTGTTCGAGGCATCTTTGTGCAAATCCTTCCCTCCGGCGCGGAGCTCGGCGTCCCCAAAGCCGCGCTCCTTTTGTGGCGGGTCCCCCCCGGGGGTGCTGCTCGGGGAGGGAGGGGGGGAGGAGGAGGAGGAGGAGGAAGAGGAGGAGGAAGGGGAGGCCTCCTGCTTTGCGTAAAGCCCCGACTGAACCCCCGAGCCCGGCGCCGCCGCCGCCGCGCTCAAACTTTCCGAAGTTGTCGCTCGCGAAGTCCTGGCCCAGAGCTGCTGCGAGAGGAAGAGGAGCTCGGGCTCGGGGCGCAGCGCTTTGGCCGCGCTCGGGGGCAGCTCCGGCGGCCGCTCCTCCCCGAGGGGCTCCCGGGGGGGCTGGAAGCGGGGCAGGGCCGCCTGCCGGTACCGGGTGCTCTGCACCGAGTCCCCGCTGCACAGCGAGCTGCTCTCCGACTCCGAGGAGCTGCCCTCCTCGCTGCTGCACGAGCTGTCCCCTTCCTCCTCCTCCTCCTCCTCCTCTTCCTCCTCYTCCTCCTCCGAAGAGTCGCTGGAGGTGGCGGGGCTGGACGCGGCGAGGTCCAGGCTGGAGTCCGAGTCGCTGGAGTAGCCGGCGGAGGTGCCCTGGCGCTTGGAGCCGGGGAAGCCGCAGGAGCGGCCCTTTTCCTGCGGGAAGAGCCCCTTGGCGCAGCAGGGCCCCGGCCGGCGCCGGCCCGCGGGGGAGAGAGCTGCCGGGAGCGCGCAGGGGTGCGCGGCCGCGGGGCGCAGCAGCGCCAGGTCTCGGGGGACCCCGGCCAGGACCCCCGCCAAGAGCCCGCCCCGAGCGGCGGGGCCGCGATCCCCCCGGGCCGGGAAGCGCCGCTGGAAGGGCTGCGGGCCCGGGAGCGCGGGGGGCGAGCGGGGCCCGCCGGGGCCGGTTCTGCAGGGCGGCAGCAGCGGCGGCCGCGGGCAGGGGAAGAGCTCCCCGGGGCCCGGCAGCAGCAGCTGCTGCCTCCTCCTGCTCTTCCTCTTCCTCCGGCGGGGGCTGAGGCTCTTGCAGGAGGTGCACAGAGCCTCCAGGTCGGCCTTGGAGATGAGCGAGCACTTGACGGCTCGCGTGGGCACCGAGTGGATGGCCTTGAGGGTGCGCAGCTCCTTCAGGTCGCAGCGGCGGCTCTTGATCTTCAGCGTTTCCATCTTCTTGCTGATGGTGGTCCTGGGGATGTCCTTGAACAGATCGCTGAGCACCTGGGCCAGGGCGAACATGCGGGTGCCGTTGATCTGTAAGTAGCCCAAGTTGATGCCCTCGATCTCCTGGTAGCCGGCGTGGAAATCGCCCGGCCTGGCTTCCCCGCTGTAATCCATGGTGGCCGGAACCATCCCGAAGGTCCCTTCGCAGGTCAGGAACATTTTGCGAGGAGCTTTTACTTTGTCCCTTTGCGAGGGGGGCMCGGGAAATCAAGACATTTCTCTTTGCACTCCCCGATCAGACGCGTCCCCCCATCCCGGAGAGGGGGGAGGGGGAGGGGAGGCGAAAAAAAGAAAAAAATACGAGGAAAAAAAGAAAAAAATCCAAAGCAGCCGATCTCCCTTTCAAACGCTCCGGTCGAGGCTTCGCAACATCTTCCGAACACCCAATTCCTCCGCCTGCACCGGGGCTCGGCTCCTCGTCCGCCCCCTCCCCGGCCGAAACAAAAAAAAAAAGGGAGAAAAATYAAGAAGTCAAACATCGCTCATCGCCCGGGCCGCCCCCGCCCGCGGCCGCGCACCCACCTTCCGCCTCCAAAGAATGGCTTTTTTAGGGGTGGGGGTTGGTGGAAATCAGCGAGCGGAGCCCCCGCTCGGGGCTGGGCGGACAAAGCTGCGGGCTCGGGGGGCTCCGGGGCTCCCTCCTCCCCTCCCCTCCCCTCCCGTCCCCTCCCGTCCCCTCCCCGCGCTCGGAATATTCTGGGGACACCTCGGGAGCACCCGCGGGGCCGGGCCCGCCCCCTGCTCCGTGTCACCAAACCCCAACATTTCACACGCGCCCCCCGCCCCAAACCCCGCAGCCCCCGCGCACAATGGGGCCCTTCCCCGAGCCGCTTTTCCCTCCCTTCCAAAACACAAATAAATATTAAAAATTACGCTGGTTTCGAGGTGATGGCAGCGTGGGTGCCTCCGCTTTGTTTCCGAGGTTTAAATGAGTTGGTTTTTTTTTTTTTTTTAAATTATTTTTTTGGCTCCACGTAGGTTTGTTTTAAGAGGTCGCTGCGCCTTCCCAAATGTGGATTCCTCTGGGATGGGTGTGTGTACGTATATATTTAATAAAGCGTGAAAGATATTCCTTCTACGCGGCTTGTTCCAAGAGATTGACTCCGCCACGATTCCTCCTTCCGCTTATTAATTAATTGCCAATTACTGTATTGATTAGCCGGAATGAGCGCGGTGTCCACAATCACAGCGGCGAAGAAAAGCGGTGGAAAAAGAGTTTTAAGCGAGTTATATCGGGGTTTTTTCTCTCTCTCCTTTTTTACTCACACACCGTCTTTATTCACTTCGTGTCTTTCTTTCTTCCGAAATCTTTCTCAATAGGAAAAAAAAAACCAGAAATGGGAAAAATACAAAAAAAATGGGGAAGAAAAAAAGAAGACAAAATCTAAAAATAGAGAAGGAAAAGGAAAAAAAAATAGAGGGAAAATAGGGAATTGTCTCGCACGCCTTCGTGCTGCTAAACTTTATTTCCAACTTTAAATCCCAGGGTTTCTTCGGTGCTGAGCAGCATTCTCCCGCGATGTTTCCCCCCCAAAAAAAACCAAAAAACCAGAATAACCACCAAACCCGGGCTGCAGATTCCTCTTTCCAAAAAGGGGGGAAAAAAATAAAAAGAAAACCTGGCGGAAGGCTCAGGCAGCGCTCGGCTCCATTGTCCCGGCCCCGCGATTCCTTTCTGAACCTGAGGCCACTCGAGTGGAGCGGGGGGTTTTAACTCCTGCTCAGGAGGCGAATTTTGGGGAAACTGTTACCTCGGAAACCTTTCTGGGGGCAGGGAAGCCGCGGCTCCGCTCCCTCCCCAGCCCCTTCTCTGTCTTCCAKCAGAAAAGTTGGTTTTACTCTTCTTCCTCTGCTTTTTTTTGTGTGTGTGGTTTTTTTTTGTCTTTTTTTGAATTCTGGTGCGTGCGGTTCCGATGGTAAAACCAGAGTAATTTGATAATAATAATTTGTTCAACTCCGTGTAGGATCGACCACAAGCGAGCCCGATTTAGCAACGCTCCCAGGGGAGGAGGAGGAGGAGGAGGAGGAGGAGGAGAGGAGGAGGAGGAGGAAGCGCATTCCTGAGCGTGTAAAAAAAAAATTCAAAATAACTCCACCATGGCCTTTAATTTGGGATCACCTGGCTGGGCGATCCCTGCGCGGGGATCTCTGCGCGATCTTTCCCCGCTCCCGGCACCCAAGGGCGCTCCCCCCACGCCCCCCGAACCTCGCCGCGGGTTAAAAAGTCCCRATTTTCCATCGCTGCCGCACGAATCCGCCGCATTTCCCCTCGGTTTCGCTCGGGCCAGAGTTTCCTGCSAGGGAAGGTCCGCGGGCAGCGCAAACAGCGAATTCCTCTTTGTTGGGCGGAGGGGAGGGGGCTGGGGACAGCGGGCCCGGGGACCCCGCGGCGGCTCCGCGGAAAATCCCCGGTTCCAGGAGCGGGGGGGATCCCGGGCGGGCTGGAACGGCGCTGCCGGGGTTAAATCTCCTGCTGCACATGGAGCCAGAGCCATTTTACCTATGGGGGCTGCGCTCCGGGCCGGCGGGAGGAGGGGAGCGCGGGATGAGCCGGGGATGGACAGAGCTCGGGATTGTCCCCTCCGGGGGGATCGGGACCGGCTCTGGGGACCCCAACACCCCCCGGAGAACCCCAAACAACTCCCGCCGCTCTCCTGGAGGGGTTTGGGAGCAGCCGGAGCCCCCAGAGCGGGCGGGAGGAAACGGGGCTGGGGAGCCGAATGTATGGAGACGTCATTTCCCAGGAAATCGCGGGCGGGAGCGGCGCCAGGAGGGGATTTTTGGGGGGGAAAAGGGGTGAAATTCCACGCGGGACGGGTTTGGGTGGCTCCGTGGGGACCAGGCTGCTCGGTTTGGGACACAGCAACGCTTTCTATTTACAAATAAATATAAATGAATATACATTATATACATTTAYATGGAACGGGCGGGACCCGGGCTGGAGGTGCTTCCCAAATAAACGCATTTTAATCCCAAATTCCCGGCGATTCCGCCGCCCGTGACCTCCCCRCGCGTCCCCGCAGTGTCCCCGCAGTGTCCCCKTCATCCCCCGCGATCAATGCCCAGCTCAGCGCTGGGATTTTCACWCTTTTWGGGGTTTTTAAGGGGCGCTGCTGGGGATGGGAACAGCCGAGCTTTGGGGTGTCCCGGGTCCCCCCGAGGGCTCCCCAGAAAGGGATTTTGGGGGAATGAGCACGAGCAGAAACCCAGGAACACTCTGGGCCTGAATATGTGAATGTGGGAATATCTGAGTTTCTGAATAACCGAAAATGTTAAAATGGGAATATCTGAATATCTGAAAATGTTAAAATCCGAATATCCGAATATCCGAATATCCGTGTTTTTATTGATGCATTTCATTGGGTATTTTTGTGTGTGCGTCTGTGTATTTGTGCGCTTCTGTATTTGTATATTTATGTATTTATTTATATATTATTCTTTTTTAAAAATTGTATATTTATATATTTATGTATTTGTTTTCTTTATAAATCGCGTATTGATGCATTTGCTGGAAATGCGGAATTTGAGGAAAAATGAGGGATTTAAACACCAGGGGTGGCCTGGGAAGGGCAGTGGGGTCAAAGGGGGCGGTTTGGGCCGGGCTTAAAAGGGTTTGAGCCTCGCTTGGGGTCAAACCCGAGAGATTTGGGGTCAGACCCGAGAGATTTGGGGTCAGACCCGAGAGATTTGGGGTCAAACCCAAGAGATTTGGGGTCAAACCCAAGAGATTTGGGGTCAAACCCGAGAGATTTGGGGTCAGACCCGAGAGATTTGGGGTCAGACCCGAGAGATTTAGCATAAAATAGAAAGATTTGGGATAAACCCGAGAGATTTGGAGTAAAATAGCAATATTTGGGGTATACCCAAGAGATTTGGGATAAACCCGAGAGACTTGGGGTCAAACCGGAGATATTTGGGTTCAAACCCGAGTGATTTAAGGCCAAGCTGGGGGAGCAGATCCCTAAAACCGCCCCAAAAGCGCCCCCCAAACTTTGGGGTTTCATTTCGGCCCCTGTGGAGGTTCCCGTCCTCTGTCCCCCCATCCCCGCAGGAACATGAAGGGAATTTGACCCCAATAAACGCGGCGGGGGAAAGAAATCCCCGTTTGTTTGTTTTCCTAAGCAAATCCCGCTCCGGAGGGATCCTTTTCCCGGAGAAATCCCTGCCGGGAGCCTCCTGGAAAACCCCAATTTCTGGGACGCACTGGGAAGCCGGAAAAAGGTTAAAAAATGCTTTTTTCGCGGTTCCCCCCTCCCCCAAAAAATTATTTAAAATCTTTTGTAGGGCTGAGGGGAGAATGTTCAATCAAATCCTAAAAAACTGCTCCCGGACCTGTAAAAAAAAGAGGAAAAATGAGTTTTAGATGGGAGATTTCGTGGTGGAGCAGAGAATTCCCATTATTTTCCCGCTGCCTTTTGATGTTTTCCAGATTCTGGGAGGATTTTTTCCCTTTTCCCGCTTAATCCTGGCKCTCCCTCCCTTTTTACAATTATTTATAAAATAATTTGGAGATCAGTAAATGATCTGCCTGGATTTTCTGGCAAGAAATCTTTTCTTTTATTTTCCTTTAAATTTAGGGAGTTCTGACCCATGGATTCACAGGTGGGGTTTTTTTTCCCCTAATTCAGTTTAAAATTAAAATATTTCAGATAAACTCAACCCCAAACTTTTCCTGGCCCTTTGCTCTTGGCAGAAATTTTCAAAAAAACCCCTCTTTTTAGAAGGCACAGAATTGTCTCAGGCGCTGCTTTTGGCCTCAAAAAGGGTTTGGATTTTTTTGGAAAACCTTGAAAATTCAGATTTAAATTTCAGTGATACCTAMAATGCTTCTTCCTGGATTTTAAACGTTAAATTCAAAGAAATTCTATTTAAAAAATAAATTTAAAACCCCCTCGGAG